AGTAGTAGTAGTAGTAGTAGTAGTAGTAGTAGTAGTGTAGTAGTATAGTAGTAGTAGTAGTAGAGTATAGTAGTAGTAGTAGTATAGTAGTAGTAGTTAGGTAGTGTAGTAGTAAGTAGTAGTAGTAGGGTGGTGGTGGTGGTGGTGGTGGTGGTGGTGGTGTAGTAGTAGTAGTCGTCGTAGTAGTAGTAGCCGTAGTCGTAGTAGTAGTAGTAGTAGTAGTAGTAGTAGTAGTAGGAGTAGGAGTAGTAGGAGTAGTAGTAGTAGTAGTAGTAGTAGTAGTAGCGGTAGTGCTAGTAGTAGTAATAGTAGTAATAGTAGTAATAGTAGTAGTAGTCGTAATAATAATAATAGTAGTAGTAGTAGTAGTGGTGGTGGTGGTAGTAGTAGTTGTAGCAGCGGTAGTGCTAGTAGTAGTAAGCGTGGTAGTAGTATTAGTGATAGTAGCAGTAGTAGTACTCTGAAAATTCGAAATAATAGAGTACTGGTCATAATACGAATACTAACACTAATCAGCATCATCATCATCATCATCATCATCATCATCATCATCATCATCGTCGCCGTCATCATTGTCATCATCGTCGTCATCATCAGCATCATCATCATCACCATCATCATAATCATCATCCTAAGAATACGCATACGAATCATCATCAGCAGCATCATCAGCAGCAGCATCATCATAATCAGCAGCAGCATTGTCATCAGCAGCATCATCAGAAGCATCATCAGCATCGTCATCATCGACATGATCATCATCATCATCATGATCAGCATCATCAGCATCATCGTCATCATCAGTATCATCATCATTCTCAGCAGCATCATCATCATAGACATCGTCAGCATCCTCATCAGCATCCTCATCATGTTCCTCATCCGCATCATCATCATCATCATCGTCAGCATCATCAGCGTCATCATCAGCAACAGCATCATCAGCATCATCGTCATCAGCCTCGTCGTCATCATCAGTATCATCGTCATCATCAATATCATCATCATGCGCGTCGTCGCCGTCATCATAAACGTTCTCATGGTCATCATCATCATCAGCATCATCATCATCATCATCACCATCGTCGTCGTCATCATAAGTAGTATCGTCATCGTCATCATTATCATGCACGTCGTCGCCGTCATCGTGATCATTCCCTTGATCATCACCAATCATCATCGTCGTCATCATCAAAACCCTCATCAGCATCATCATCGTCATCATCAACACCATCATCATCATCATCATCATCATCATCATCATCATCATCATCATCGTCATCGTCATCGTCATCGTCATCATCATCATCATCATCATCATCATCATCATCGTCGTCATCGTCATCATCATCGTCATCGTCGTCACCAAAATCATCATCGTTATGAGCATCATCATCATCAACAGCAACACCGTTATCATTATTAGTATCATCATCGTCATGGTCATCGTCTTCAGTGTCATCATTATCAGCATCATTATCGCCACTGCCGCCGCGAGGGGCGGCGGCATCGTTGTCAACGTCGGTGTCGTCTTCGCCGTCGTCATCGTCATCATCAGCCTCATCACTATCACCATCATCAGCAGCAGCAGCATCATCAGCAGCATCAGCGGCAGCATCATTTTGATTGTCATCCCCATCATCGTCATATATCCTGAGGACGAGAGGCAGAGCAGGCAACCTTTTCTGCACCCCATCTCCTGTGAACGGACCCTGGCAGCCATGGACCGTGCACGGGCCCCGTCTGTCAGGCAGGCGTCAGTCATTGGCCTGCCCAGCCTTGTGCGGTCTCCAGGTCCATGCTCACAGACCGAAACAAGACACACACAAAACCCTGATGGTGCCGGAGTCCGCACATCTACTCCATGGCGAAACCATCAAAGCGGGGTTGTCCTCCGCCTCCTCCTGCCCGCGTCATTATGATACCCACCCTCGTCAACAGTTCCCTCGTCATGCTACTACTCGCCATCCTCCCTCTCCTGACGAGATCTCTCCCTTCTCCTCATCAGCCTCACCCTGTTCATCCTGCTCTCTCTACTTCAGTAATCACCACGCCATCATTTTCTCATTCGTGATCGCCGTCATCATCATCAGCATCATCGTCATCAACATCAGCATCGCCGTCGTCATCGTCGTCGCCATCATCATGATCTTCGTCAGCATCATCATAATCAGCATCATCATCATGATCAGCATCAAGAGCAGCATACTCATCGTCGTCGTTGTCGGCATCACCATCATCGTCATCATCATCATCATCATCATCATCATCATTAAATTCATCAGCATCTTCATCAACATCATCATCAGCACCATCATCATATGGGTATTCATAAACCTGATCGACAACTTCATCATGGCTACCATTCTTACTGCCATCATGAACAGCATCCTGCACGGGCAACATGCATCCTCATAGTACTGTTAGTGTCCGAACGTTCTGATCAGCATGCTCCTCATCACTGAAAGCGAAGCCGATGCAAGCCTCGTACTGCTTCCGCCCCACTCTGACAGTAGGATTTCCTCCGGACCATAGTACGGAGTAAGGTGCGCAGAAGGTGGGACAGCGACAGTGCAGGAGGAACTGCAGGACGCGAAAGGGGAGGGGTGACATGGGGAGGTACTGGAATAAGAAGAAGAGGCAAAGGAGGAGGACAGCAGCACCAGCAGGGCTCGGAGCATGAAAATGACGAGGAGGCGGGTAAGGAGAAGGGGTGATGGGAGGGGAGGGAAGGGAGAGGAGAACGAAGAGGGCGCGGAGGGCGATTAGGGCGAAGTGGGAGGAGGGGAAGGACAGGGAGGATAGGAAACGACAACGACGACGACGACGACGAAGACGACGACGGGGGCGACGAAGACGGCGACGACAACGACAAGCAGCAGCCGCAGCAAAAAAAGGCCTAGCGCAGGATGCAAATGAAGGACACGTAAAAAATGGGAATGAAAGGAATGAGAAGGGAAAGAGGAGGAACAGGAGGAGAGAGACGGAAGATGTAGAGTAAAGAACAAGAGGGAGGAACCACGCTATGGGAGGGGGACCCGCACGCCATGTTCCGCAGACGGCTCCACGTGTCGACATATCCCACATCAGATTGGCGCATGCCTCGCCATAGTTTCGCACGTTGTCTGATTCGCGGGCGTCGAGAGCTTCCATCCGCCATCGGGCCCTATGGCACGTCGAGGCGTGGCAGAATGCTAAGGGTTGTCTGGTATAATGCTTGCAACCTTCGAACAAACCCCCACCCGTCACGCAGCGAGAGAACGCGAATGAATGACCAGGATGGGGGGAGGGGGAGGAAGGAAGGGAGGGAGAGGAGGCCACCAGAAAATAGGAAACGAAGGGGCGCGGGATGCAGGGCAAAGGAAGGGTCGGGCGAGGAGACGAGGGGGGCAAAGAGCGGCCCGGGGGGGAGAGGTGAACCCAGGGAGGGGGAGTAGGAAGCGGACGACAGCCGCGGCTTGCCGAATCCTCTGGCCCCCTCCGCCCCTCCTGCGTGCGCGTCGTGGACGATCTCCGCGATCTGCCAGGAGCACGCTCTCCACGACTGTCCTCGTGTTGGCGCCTGTGGATCCTCCCCCGCCCCTACTTTCCCTCCCGTCCCCTCCCCACCACCCACCCCCGTCGTCCTCCTACCCGCTTCGTCCCCCCCTTCCTCCCCTCCCCCTTTAATCACGAAGATCCTGAAGGAGACGATCTTCGCGCAAGGTCGCGATCATCTTGCACGGCCAGCATTGATGGCGAACGACGACATGTTCGTGCGCAGATGCAACCATTTTCGCCCGAAATGAATACAACTTCATGGAAAGCGCTCCATTTGCCCAAACATGAAGGGGCCCTGGAACACACAAATAGATACACACAAATAAAAGGATTCCCTATATTTTCCTATATTTTCTGGGGTTTTGTCTTCCCGCCCAATTCCCATACTTTCCAATATTTTCTTGGGAATCGACGATTAATTGTGTCTGTGTGTGTTTTTTCCCCTCCTGAAAACAGCGCGTGCCACGAGCCGCCGCCAGCCATCAAACCAGTTACATCCTCAAGAAAATATGTTTTTCTGGTTTGCCGTCGAGTGCCTGCCTATTTGAAACGTTCGAGACCCAGCGCGACAATGCTCAACTTGCTGCTTGCGATCCCAAGACACTCTGGGCACGGACAATTGCCTGAGGATGAATCGTTCCGTCGTCAAACAAACACCACTCAAGTCGTCAAACAAACACCACTCAAGATCCAAGATTTCGCGGCACGGGTTCTGGTCCGGCAGTCCTGGCGCCACACTGAAACGTCGCCGCCTGCGTCGCCGTCGTCGGGGTCGCCCTCCTGGCGGCTGGCGTCGGCTCCGGCGGGCTGGCATGCTGCAGCCTGACCGTCGCCTGCCGCCCGAGCAGCGCCGTCCCTGCCGTCGCGGGCTGGACGGCCTGGCGCTGCTGCGACGCCCCTCAACCACGCCTGTGCAAGAACCCCGTGGACGTGGGCAGCCAGACCGACGCCATCGACGCGATCACTCGCGCCCGTCCAGCTGCTCCGCTGAAGAACCGCCATGCCCGAGCCGCACACACATCGGAGGCCTTCCGCGCGCATCAATTCCACCACTTGTCTGCATGAGGAACAGCAGCCCACGCAACAATGCTCGATGCGGTCACGCCGACGAAGGGTACCATTCCACAGGCGCCCTACAGCGTTTCGCCGACACTTTTTGATCCGCGGGTCGAGAGCGAGCCTCTTCCGATAGAAGCTAAGCGGGCCACGCACAGCTTTAATTAGCAGAGAGGGGGCAAAAGAAGGCGGGGCCTCACGTCAAGGCCAAGAGAGGACAAAGCCCTGGGATCAGGCGGTGCCGAAATCGAAGTGCAAGAAAGGGTACGCCTTGGACAGGAACCCGGAAAGAGGCGGATCCCCCGACCCCCTAAAAAAATCTCGCGGTGAACTCTGGCGCCCCGAGGGCGAAACCCAGACTTGATCATTACAGGCTGTTTCTCGATGAGCGTTCTGGTCCCCTT